ACAATCGACCACCGGCTTCATGACAGCCTTGGACAGGGTGCCCTGGTGAGACACCATCCTTTCGACCTTGGCGGCGCAAGCGGACGACAACGAGGCTGTGTGAAGTGTGGGGGACTTGTGGAACTGATCCGAAAACAGTCTTATAAGGGCCCAATCGAACACGCACCCCTGTGTTCACAACGGGGCTATGCACATGTACACATCTCCGCGCACAATACAAGTGCAACCAAAAGGCAAAGAGTTCAGCCAACTTGATATTGACATAGACGCAGCCCCCCTTGCCAAAGTACGCTGTCTGGCTGTAGTTCTTGGACTTGTACGTTTTCTTCCCCTTGGCTTTGCTTGCATTCTTATTCTTCTTTGAAGTGGAAGCTGTCTCCAGGCGATCTTTGCTCACCTTGGCCCCCACAGCATGCCTGGTCCAGTAGCATGAAATTTGGAAATCTGCCGGTACCTTCCCCTCAAAGGCGCCGGGGTGAACGCAGTCTGTTGACTCACACTCATCCATCACCTTGTTGACACACTCAACATAATGGTCAAAGTACTCATCTTGCTGAGGTTGGGAAGCTTTGTTCTTGCGGCCCTTTGGCGGCGTCTTCTTGCTCTCTGCCGTCTTCTTGCTCTCTGCCGTCTTCTTTGTGTTCTTCTTCCCTTTCTTTGTGTTCTTCTTCTCTTTCGTTGTGTTCTCCTTCTCTTTCAACTCTGGACTCTCTGCCGGTGGCTCCACTGGAGCTGCTGCTTTGGACTTCGATGATTTGCTTGGCTTGGTCTTTGAATATCTGGGTGGCCCCTCTGACGATGATGGGCGTTCAGTGCGCTCCACACTAGCCTCAGGCTCAGTTGGAGTCTTCGATGGGGACTTGGCCTTTTTGCCACTGCGAAGAACCCCCAACCTTTGCTTCGATGGACTCCTACTGAGTGCTTTCCCCTTCTTCTGGCCTGTCTTTCGATTGGCTCGACGTTTGGCCGCTGCTTTGGATCGACGTTTCTTGTCAACCTTGTCGGCTTTGCCCTTCTCACCTTCACCTCTCTTTCTCTTGCGGTCTTTCTTCTTTTCTGCCTTCGCCTCTTGGTTTTCATCCTTCATTCCAAATTGCTTGCGGCGTGTCACTGCTGGAAAGGACGGTACCTCTGGGTAGCGAGCATCCTTCAGGGTTGCGGCAACTGAGATTGGTACATTCGTGATCCCAGTTTGAAGGATTGGAAACATGAGCTATAGAAAATGCATGCACATTGCTTGGGCAAAGCTGTTTGCTCACATAGCATGCCATGGGTATATAGTTTGTGCAGTTTGTGTTGAAAAAGAAGAGTATCAAAAGAATCCCGCTTTAGATCCACTTTGGTCTGCATGTTCAAAAGTTTGTTGCACTGCTCTTACATGTTTTGCTAGCATGTTTTGCTCGCATGGTGCCACGGCTGGATGTTTTGTGCCTTGGCACGCGGTTGCTCAGAAGCAGTGCCACACTATCGCAAACAAAACAAGCCTCTATACTGCACGTTTTTCTTATATTTACATAATTGAGACTTCTTATAATTGGCATTGCCAATATATAGGCCCGCATATGCACAAATACATCGAATACTATATTTGGACGCACGCGTGAGATGATGGATCTACCTCCTTGCACTCGCTGACAGTGACAAAACAGCAGTATGCCCTTTCTAGAATCTCAACCCCCCCAAAGATGTGAACTGACAACTGCACTGCTCCTGACCACCCTCAAGCGCAGCTTTGTAATTCTCATCCTCTGCCTTCAGCATCCCTTTGTTGGCAGCGGTCTTGTCAAAGTCACTTGGTGAAACCAGCATTTGGGTCTCGTCATTGTCCGCAATTTGTGGGAGCGAGTCGTGCAACGCGGTTGGCGGAGAACCTGGGCCCCACACAACAGATGCCACCGCGCCGAGTTTGCACGCCGATCGATAAACATACCTCCTCCACAACGCACACAGGAAAACAACTTGGAACGGCGATGTGTCAAATGGTCATGGAGTATATACCACATGCATGCAAGAACAACATGTTTGACAATTACACAATTACTCCATTGGCCGAAACACGTTCTTCTGGTGCAGGAAGCTCTTTGGCCATCTCGGACGGCGGTTCATCTGGCTTTGCAGCTGAGGCCTGGCTCAACCTGGGCGAGCGCCGCGCGTGTTGGCAAAGGTTTTTTTGGCATGCATGGGAAAAAAAACTGTGATCTGTATGTCATGCGTTGACACCTCAAGGTTTTTATATATACTCATTTGGAGCCCGGGGTATATATAGTGCGTGGACCGCCCAGAACACAAAATAAACACAGGAAGGGTTGAAAATCTATCACTCGATTTGGCTAGATAGCTCCAGTTTCTCGATCTCTTCTAAAACCATCAAGAGCTCCTCCGTCAAAGCGTTCGGCTCCTCATGTGCACCATCACCACCACCTTCATGGCAACCTTCGTTGTCAGAGTCGAGGATGGTAATCATCTGACTGCTGGCGACTTCCTGCGCCAAACAAATAGACAAGCCAACGGCTTCTACAGCGTAAGTGCATGAAACCTTTGTAACATGCAAGTATTTGCATGAAGGATCATGAATGAATGTAAAAGCACATCAAGTTATATAAGACTAAACATCTATAGATATATATAGCCTCCAAATTTTGTAAGACATGTTGCGATACAGGTTTCACCATATGCAGTTGTATATTTTTCACTATATGGGCTCCTGCGGGTCCAGTGGTGTGTGCGCCGGCTGCGGCACTTCTCCATCAGACGCAGGCTTAAGCTCGGGGTTGGGGTGTTCCGCCTCAATGCCGTTGGCAGCCTTCGCATCCTTAGCAGGCAGCAGACCCCATCCAGAATATTCATCCAGTGTGGTCTGACGAAGGGAACGCTGAAACAGCACTCGTGTGATGACTGGCTGATTGGCAAATGGTCTGAAACGGCAAGCCGCGAGATCCTCTAACTGGAGTTGGCGTCGGACTCCATCACTTGTGTCAGCAGCATTGGGCTTGGAAGCTTCTCCGTCCGCAGCCCCAAACACTGGCACTGAAGATGCTCGAGGAAGCGCTGGGAAAGAGCCTTGAGACTCAGCAGGCTCAGCAGGAGTTGAAGGTGGCGGAGGAGGAGGAGGTGATGGAGTTGGATGTGACATCTCAGTCTCAACACTCTCCGGGTTGTCCATGATGGGGTATGCCTGACCCAGCGACGTTGGACTCTCCTTTCGCCTGATGTTCACCTCAACCCCCAGATCATGGGCAACCTCCAACAACTCATGGTCCTCCTGCGCATGAAACATTTCAGCACATGCATCATCATACATCGATCCTCTATACAACCTATGTACCCTTGCATGCCTTTCCATGCTGAACGTTTTCCTATTATACTTTCAATTTAATAGAATGTCTCACTCTTTCAATCTTGTTCACCAAGAAAACATGTTATTAAACATGTTGTGCACGCATGGGTATATCATGATACTGACGGTAAGCATGCACAGAACATCAAAACTCAGAAGGTTTCAATATGATGACACCAGTCCTCCGAAAGAAATTTGCGATACAACAATGTGTTCTTCGCGAGACTTAGGAGGCGGCGGCAAGCCCATGCCTCCCAGTACAATGTATCGTAGGAACAAGCGCATTTTGCACATCGATAAAGTGCCCTGACCTCTTCAATCAAGCCGTCGATGCCAGGCAGAAACAGCTTGTTCTCCTTCATGAGATGGAGCAAAGGACGGAGCTGTTCCCGATTCTTCCTCACGTTTTGCAACGTTTTCTCGGGATAAATGTTGGTCAACTTTTCAGTCTCGGGATCCCAATGCATGATCAGGCGACTGTTCATCCGAAGTCGATCTCTGACAGCTTTCAAATTGTCCCACTGAATGTGAAGCCCTTGAAGTGAGTAGGTCCCAACACGGTCGTTCGCCGACGATGTAGCCGCCGGGCGATCAAACAACTCTGCATGGACAAGCGCGTTGTCCACCATGTTTTCCAATCAAAAGGGTCGAAGCGGCTCCAAGCAAATCGCGTTTGTCCCAACAGCAGCTGCGCAGGAGAGGCAGCATCAAGTGAGCTTGGGTGCATGCTGAAATGGTCCAGCCACAAGGATGGTAACAGTTTGCCCAACCCTACCACACAAACATGTGACATGTGCAAAAACCTCATGATGCAGGTGCGCGCGCACAACGCACGCACAAACAACTTGAGTGACTGAAGGATCGATCGCAAATATGTTCGATAAACAAGCCAGGAAATCCTTGTGGGGTCTGCTTGATCAAGAGGCTCGGTCCATGGCATGGTCCATGAGTTGTGGCTGGATCAGGCCACAGTATATTTGATTTCATGTGTATATAGTTGCGTGCCATGGGCATGATTGACATACACATGTCACATCTCCGCCCATCTCACCTGACCTTTGGTTGGATCTCCTGAAAAAAAGTGAGATTCCGCATCGTGTCGGCGGGGTCATGGGTTGCAAGTCGAGATCGGCTCGGCTGGTTCCGATATATGAATCGACATGTGCGAACTTCTTGATCCATCCTTCAATAAAGCAGCCGGCGTAGCAGCCAAAGATCAATCATAGAATTCGGGAACAATTCGGGAAACACAATTCGGGAACCCATTCGGGAACCAATTCGAGAACCCCCGATCCTCGAACGGACATTATCGCGGAAAGTGCTAATTAGATCCAGAATGCAAAATCAGAACTGATTCTGAATGCGAGTTATAATTTCAACATACTCGGTGTTCCAGGTAGTTTTCATTCTGCAACCCCCGTTGCACTGAGACTCTTGTGACTTGTGCCAGAAAGACCTGACAGCTACCAGAAAGACTCCGGGCCCGAAGGCTTTGGGACCCGGACCCGGGGGTCCGACCCATGCCATGGAGGCCCCAAGGATTCTTTTATATAGCAGCTAGTATTCTTTACTAAGTAGTACGGCCAGGAGATCGTAGTGTCCGATCACTCGGTTCGTAGTGCCCGCCCTGTTGCGTCTTTCGGCCTCCGGGCGGCCGCCGGAGGTGCCGAAGAGCTGCGCTTCGAGGGAACCTGGCGACGTACTTTTCTGTGCATTCACCAACGGGAAGCAGGCAACATGAACGGATGGACCAAGGACAGTTAACTGTGTCAACTGCATAAATTTGCGGAACCCAAATCAGGGTCTGAGCTAATTAATCTGAGCTCCTCAGCTTCCATTCCCTAGCAGTGATAAGCAGTCCGGCTTCCAGGTGTCAAGTTGGATAGTAGTAGATGACACTGGGCTGTTTTGCCAGGCTGCTCGGCGACGACGCTCCAGTGGAGTTGTCGCTGTGGAGTGCTGTGGAGCTGTGCACCGCGGAAAAGAGCTGACCCAAAGGTCCTGAAGAAGGCGTGGGATGAGGTGGTTGGTGGTTCAGTTCTGCCACAAAACCTCGTAGTTCTTTCCAACTACAATGGTATCTCTCTCCTACCAGGTTCCAGCTTGCTGTAACCCAAAAAGATTCTGCGAGGCACGGCGAGACATTGATCTCAACAGCGACCGGACCGGTCCCACCATGATCACTTTCTTCCGTGGGACACACGGGATGTCCGCTCGGCTTTTCCAGGACTTCGGCGTTTCATCCACCCTGTCTCACTGATGGGACTGATGATGTGCAGGTCTGTTTTTTTTGTTTTAATCTTTCTGGTCCTGGTGGACTTTTGACTCGTGACATGTGGGTCCTTTTTCGTCCTCCCCACATGTTTGTTACATCGATGACGTCGATGAGGTCGCTTTTTCTCAGGTGCGGAACTGGATTGAGGGTGTGTCAGCTTGGGTGTGTCCTGAGCAGCCGTGCCATTTCCAAGAGGCGTGGTTTGCGTCGCTCACCCGCAGACCACAGCGGATGTGGTCGCGGAAGCGTGACGCGAATGTGCGCGGTACCTGCGTGAGCGAATTGCGCTGTGGAATGAGCGACCCACCCTGTGTTGCTGGGAGGTGAAGTACGTACCGCCCAGGGTGGTGGCCAAATTTCTTGGTTGAGCAGCACCCAACTATGACCTAACAAGTTGAAGAGATTTACATCAACTCTAGATTGCACCACATTTCAAAACTGAAATAAGTCGAGTGAAGGGGCTTGAGAATCTTCGGTTTTCTCTTCCTCCCAACGCCTTTCAGGTGCAGCTGGGCCACTTCTTCGCAGGATGGCCAGGTGCCTGGACGCCGTGGCGCCTGCGCAAGACCTTCGGCCCCCGACGCTTCCGCGTGGCGCTGCCCGGCGCCGGCGAGGCGGATCCCCGTGTTTCATGTCCGGTCGTGGAAACTTTTAGTTTGAAACACCCTTCAACTCAATGGTATACAAAACACACAAAAATAGTTGTTTTTTGTTTTTTTAGTTGAACATACACACATGAAACAACCCTCCCTGGTGGTCGCCACACATCATTTTGATATCACCTTGCATTTTGGCTCAAGTCCTGCGGAAAAGGCGTGCTGTGCCTGGGTCGGGGCTTAGGATTCCATACATCGCGTTGCAGATCATTAAACTGTAGGATTGGCTGTGTCCTTCAGTTTAACTGGTTAACAGCCTCAAGCCAGGTCTCACAGAGACCTTCCATATTCGCTTGCATTAGGACCTGAGCCCTCCTAGTGTTTGCACCACCGCCATTCGAGTGTCAACTTGTGATCCAGAGCTTAAATCGAGTTGCTAGCTAGGACCCTTGTCTTGACATCTTGAGTGTGATCCCAGCCCGTCCGATTGCATTTCGCTTCAGGTGAGCTGCCCCTTTCCGTTGCCGAGTGGGTCCGAGAAGCAGGGCAGCGGGGGTTTTGCCTTGTGGCAACACCGCATCGTAGTTTAACCTCCATATTAAGAAAGCATCATCATACTCTAGAGTTGTGCCTGGTTTGCATTTTGCCAGATCTCTTGAACATTCTTTAGGAAGTCTCAAGTGAGATCCCAAGCACTAAATTTCGTCAAACGTGTGACGCAATCGCTTCGGTCCAAGCTACGCGTTAGTTTCACTGCAAGCGTTTGTTGTTTCACCGCGGTCTGCACAGTTTCACTGCGTTCATGCGTTCAAGCCCTTCAGACTTTCGGCGGCGATCAAGGTCTCCGCGGTTGGTACAGAATGTTGGGTGAGCGCTTGAATCGAGAGACAGAGTAGTATTTGCGGCTCTGTGCAGAGCGTCGGGGAGGCAAGATCTTTCAGTCGTCGGAAATCCTTGATCCTCACAATTGTCGAGCACTATTTGCAGCTGGTTGAGTTCGCTGTCACTGCATCTGACAACTCGGCTTACGTCGTCGGCAGGATCAGGCGAGGGAGGACGCTGCTGTGAAGAACAATCAGTTGCCTAGGAGAGGGGATCCGATCATCCCATCGGCTGCGGACGAGGAGCTGGAAGCTGCGTTTGCTGATTCTGTCCGGGCGTGGACGAGGAGATTGAGGAGATTGAGGAGGGGAGCAGGTTGATCCTCGGCCGTCTGTGGTCCCGCCTCCTTCGGTTGTCAGCGAGTATTCGAGCTCATCATTCACTACATTGCCAAAGGCGACAGGTGGTGTGCCGGATTTTTCGCGACTGTTGAGTGCATCTTCAATCAGTCAGTGCTGTTCCCCCTACTTAGATGGGCTGGGGTGTTGCTAATGTGTTAGCAAAGTTAACCTATTTGCTAACCTAATGCTATCAGCTTCTGAAACTATCACTAACCTATTGCTAAGGTATTAATAATGTGTTATGAAAATTACAAATTATTAAGAGTTGCAAAAAGTTATCTAATTATGTTAATTTTGTTAGAGAGTAATGAGAGTTAGTAAGAGTTAGCTAACTTTTCATGTGTGCATGTACAACTTTTAATAAATAATAGTTGATTAACTTTCTGTTGCCACCCTAGTTTGTTTTTGTGTGCAATGCATTTTCTTGGCTGCTACTGCACTGTTTTTTCAAGGAAATCATTGAAATGTAGTTTCAAAAATCAAAAGGTTCTCTGTTGTTCTATACAACCATTGTGCTGACAATTCTGTTGAATATTGTTTGTTCTCCTGTTCAGAAACAACCAGTCTTTGCAATGGTTTCCTCCAAGCACTTGGTGCTTTTGTTTTCATTATTGACAGCGCAAAACCTTGGAGGCCTAGTGGGCTTTTGTTTTCATGTTCGCATTTGCTTGAACTTTATAAAATCATAGCATGCCCATGATGTTTTTTGTTCTTCTTATGGATCAGTAGCTGTGGCTCAACAAACAATTTGTTACCCCACCATGTGGCCAGAGGCCCTGAAGAAGGAAAAGGAGATTGGATTTACATGTTTTGGTGAGACATGTGTCAACATGATCTTGCACCTGCTTCAAAAAGAAAAGGTTGCCCAAAGAGAAAGCTTAGATTTTACAGCAAAGCTGAATGGGTACACAAGAACTACTGGCCAACAGCTGGTCTCGGTGCTTCCAGTTCTGGTGAGACTGAAAGGCTTGGTGAATTGTAGTGACAAAGAGATTGCTTTGCTTCAGAACACCCACATCAAAGTTGGTGGAGCGTATTTGGGCTGTATTTCAATGCTGTACATTTTGCATAGGGCAGTTGTTCTTGTGTTTAGCACAAAAGGTGAAAACATATATGTGATCCAATCCACCCAGTCCAGGTATTGCCATCCTGATCATGGTGACAAAGTATTTTTGTTGGCAAGCCTTGATGACAAGGGTGCAAATTTGGAGCATTGCCCTTTGTTTGGTGGTGCTGAGAATGTGTTTCAGCCGATGGAGGGGCTGAAGAAATGGAAGCCTACCAAAAGGGAATGCCCATTGCTATGCAGGAGCTGATCCCAGCTTTGCGTCTTGGAAGGTGCCTGATCCGTCATATCCGGTCATTGTTCCTCCATTGCCTGTGAAAACCTTTTCCATAGCAACCACTCCATGTGCCATTGCGGCGCGGCCAGGACCACCTTCCAGTGACCCGTCGTCATCATCGTCGAGCGATAGTCCTCATGGCGTCATGACCAGCAGAACATGTTGGTAGGAGTTGGTTCCGGTCCATTGGGTTTCATGGTCGGGAAAGATGTATATAGATCAAAGGATCTGTCACTCATCAAGATAGAAACTCTCCCAACAACAGCGTCAGAGTTCAGAGCATGGAAGAACACCTTTTTGACAAGAATTGCTTCGAGATTTTATCTTGGCTTGGGTCATGCAAGCATTCACCGAAGGTAAAGACGCATCGGACTTTCATGACAGTGGTCTTTTGCCGCGTTTGGACGCCCACCTTGGATCCCTCTTGATGGACAGTCGTCACTTGAAGGGTGAACTCGGTATGAGGTTTCAAACATATGCAGAATCCTGCCAGCAAGCCATGCGAGCCCCAAGAGGTCGTTCTTTCCTGTTCATGTTGTCTCAGCATTTTCGTCTTGATTTGAATCGTGGTAGCAACCTCACTCAGCAGGCTTTGCTTGATTTGCAGTTGGACGGTTTTACCCCGCGTGATCTTGAGAAATTTGTTGAAGGCATTGAATATGTTCTCAACGCCATCCCAGCAACACATCAACCAACAGAAGTGACAAAGTTTACATGGTTGTACTTAAGGGTCAAGAAATGTAAGTTGTTGCAGCGTCACATCGATCGCATTCGAGACTCGAGAGAGACATCGCACTGTCGTACCTGGGACTGGTTGATGAATAAGATAAAAGCTGTTTTGGTTGAAATCAGAGAAGACGCAAACGAAGAATCGATTCGCGCATCTTTGCAAGCAAAGGCAAAGCCTAAGCCTGATTCAAAGGCTGCAGTTGCACAAGGTGCCGATGATGACCCAAAGGGAACCAAAGGTTTGCCAAATCCGTCCGCAAAGCCCAAGGCAAAGCCGAGGGCAACACCTCCTCCGCCGAAGGCTGGGGATCAAGGGGACAAGGGTGGAAAAGGTGGAGATCAGCCAAAGGTTGATCCAAAGGGTCAAGGTAAAGGCAGTACAGGTTCTGAAGACAAAGGAGGGAAGCCCAAAGCTAAGACCGAGCCAAAGGCGAGTGGCAAAGCCACTGTGCCATGCCTCTTCTGGCCCAAAGGGACATGCACCAGGGGGGAGGGTTGCCCGTTTCTTCATGATCCGAAAGCCAAGCCAGCAGCAAAGCCAAAGGCAGCTGCGCCAGCAAATGCAAAGGCAACAGTTGCAGTTCTTGCTGCAGCAGGCGGTGTTGCGCGCACATCTGCTTTTCGCACAAGTGGAAGTCAGAATGGTTTGTCAAATGAATCCGTTTTGAAGTCATCCCTTCGCGCGATTGTTCGACCTTTCATTGCACTTGCCTCCATCATTTCCAGTTGTGTTTTGCCACAGGGGTCTGCAACACTGTGGGATGCACAAGCATCGTCATCTAGTCTTGGTGCACCAGCTATCTTGTATCATGATCCCCATGCATTGATTGCGCAGTCAAAAGCCAGTAGTCATGTTGCTTTAGAATCGATCGCCGATTCAGGTGCAGATCGTGATCTTGCGTCTAGTCGTGCATTCGCCGAACAGGGCGTTCATAGTGACATGGTTCAAAGGTGCACTCAGTCAATCCCACCAATCAAGTTTGAAACGGGAAACGGTTCTTACACTGCAGACACATGCGTAGCCATGAACGGGTCTTCATTTGGTCATGCCAACTTCAGTCTGATGGAAGATTGCCCACTTGTTAGATCATTAGGCCAAATTGTGTCGGCAGGGAAGCCATTTGTATGGTTGCCGGGAGAACTGCCTTTCTTTTGCCATGACATTGACAGTCTGCCCGTGTAGAAGACCACGTCTTTTTTGAAGAGTTCCAAGAAAATGTCACCTTCGCACTGCCGGCTGAGGGAGCAGAACGTGTTGAAGCATCAGAAGAATAAGCCCCAGCACCGGCCGCTCCGACCACTGCCACTTGCGCAACGGCTACAAGCCGAAGCGAGATCCATGAAACATAGAATGTGCCACATTCCTAAGAACCCTTACTGTGATACATGTCGTCGTTCTCGCATGTACAGGCGGAGGATAACGCGAAAGCGTCGTGAGCCTCTTGAAGCCAGGGGGAATTGGAAGAAGTCACAGAGCTCGGACAAAGGTTGGCAGCAGACTTCATCATTGTCAGTAAGTCGCGCAAAAGTGATAAAGAATCTGTTGTGTTGGTTCTTAGAGATGAGTATTCTGGATACATTGGCTGCATATCCATGTACCAAAAGATCGTCCAACACCATTGTCAAGTTCATGTTGTCCTTCCTTGGGCCGTCATACCATGCACATCCAACCATCATGTGCAAATCAGACAATGCCCCTGAGTTCATGTCAGCGTGTACGACTTTAGGTTTCGTGCACGAACCGTCACTTTCAAGGAGGTGGCCTCACAACAGCGTCATTGAACGTGAAATCAGGACGCTGGAGGAGGTAGCAAGAGCTGCACATCTTGGTGCCGGGTTCCACCTGTTGACGGACCTGTGGCAACATAGTGTGCAGTACGCAGCTATTGTAATCAATGCTTATCATCCTGTCAAAGACAATGAAGGGAACCCTCACAACCGCCATATGCTTGCTAGTGGTAAGGAAGGGAATTGCTGTTGGGTCAGCTTGTCTTTGTCCGCAAAGATCCCCTCAATCGTCACAAGTTTGATGCAAATGCCGTTCCGGCCTTGTTCATTGGTTGGCGATATGATAGTGGACCGAAGTCACACAAAGGCATTTATCTGACAATCGACTACGCATCAGTTAAAGCTCAAGCAGCAGGGTATCCGATGCCGCTGTCCGTGCCAATCGAGGAGATCTATGTGCCACCAGGCGACCCAATCCTCCCACTGCATAATGCAGCTGAAACCGCACTGGCAGATTTCAGTGAACCATCCCTTGCAGAGCTTCTTCCAAAGGAAGTGCCTTTCTCAAATGCCACCCCTGCCGTTCGCCATGAATACATCACCCTTGACAGAATCATTCGCTTCGGCGCAACCCGCGACTGTCGGGCGTGTTCGGAGATGAAAGGGCATCATAACAGTAGGTGTAAAGCAAGATTTGACATGCTAGTGAAAGCCGAAAAGGCTGCCAAACCAGACAAATCGCCATTGCCTCCAGCAGATGGTGTAGCGCCGGTTGAAGATCTGCTCTCCGAAGCTGTAGGTGACGAACCTGTCGCTGAGATCCACCCTCACGACTTGCCGTTCAGCGCAGGCATGCCGCCAGGTGATCCAGAGGCCGCAATGATCAACAAAGTTGCATCAACGATCGATGAATCTTTCATCCAAGCAAGCAATCAACGATCTAAGAATAGACGTATGAACACTCAGAAAGGTCATGGTACTCTTTTCGAGTTTGCCTGTTCAGATGATTCGGTCATCGGCAAACATGCCATAGCAATTGGGGTAAAGTGTATTGGACTGTCCAGGTCAATACTAGATTTGTGTAACCCTCACCATGTCCAACAAGCCTTAGGCCAGCTTGAGACCATGGTCAGCACCTGGGCGTCTGTAACATGCACCCACCGTACACAAATCCAAAACCTCAACTTGCACGCGCGTGGAAAATCATATGCCAAGAAATTGGCAAAGAGAAAAGCAGAGTCTGAAGTTTTGTTACAGTATGCCATACAATTTCTTGAGAGAACCCTTGAACTCGGTGGACGTGTCGCATTCAAGCTGCCTGCAGGAAACCAGCTCTGGAACAACCCGCATTTGCTTGCCTTCGAAGAGAGAGCAGGTATGAAGCGAGTGTATTTCAACGGATGCGCATTAAACCTAAGAGGTAAGCACGGTAAGTATCTCAAGCAGCCATGGTGTGTAACAACAAGTGATTTGCGTCTCATTCAGTTCTTGTCTCAGTGCCAGTGTGATAAGACACATGAACATGAAGAATCACTTGGGAAGAACGCTGCCCAGTCTGCATTCTACACTCCAGAGTTTGCCAATACCATTCTAGAAGCATGGTACCCCAAGCAGTGGAATAAGAACATCCCAAATCTGTGTTCTCAACCAGCCTTCGTGACCAAGAACCTCACCAAAGCCGAATGGAAAAATGATGAAAAGGCACTCAAAGCCATTGAAGCAGAAGCAAGTGGTCTTCGTGCCAATGGCACATGGGATGATGATTCAGTCATCATTGTCAGCACGCTCAAACGCGAAGCAAAGGAGCGTGGAGAAGAAATACATATTGCCGAAGTTCTTGTCTTGGCAGGCATAAAACACTGACTTCGAAATGGATGAAGCATACCACCACGACATCGTGTATAGAGGCGATCTTATCAGAAACCAGTTTGGGGACCATGTTTTCTTTACTGAGAACGAAACAGCAACAACGCCAACAGCAATAGCTGCGTTAAACATGACCCTATGGTATGGCCTCACGACTGTGGTGTCTTGCGCCGACTGTGTACAAGCATACCTTCAATGTCGTCTAGACGACAATACCTGGGTGATTTTGCCTTTTGAGCTCTGGCTGCCAGTGTGGAAACAAAAGTATGAACCCACAACAAAGCTTGCAGCAAAACTGGTAAAATCACTGTATGGTCACCCTCAGAGTGGCAACCTATGGCAGGCCCACTTAGAACGCCAGTTGATTGAAATGAAAGGCGCACCCATCCAAGAATTTCCATCCAACTTTGTGTTTCGGCATGGACCAAACGAAGAGTTCACTCTCATCCTGAACATACGTGGACGATCTTACCTTCGCAGGGAGGACAAAAGAAATCCAATGCCAGTTTTGGGATGAGTTGAAGACCAAAACAAAAATAGATCCACCTGAATTCATTGAAGAAAAGGGGACAAAGATTCTTGGAAGGATTCACAGGATCCAAAGAACCTCACAAATGAATACTCTCACATATGACATGACTGCGTATACCAAAGGTATTGTCGAGTTCTTTTGCGAGATGACAGGTGTTTCAAAAGACAAGCTTCGTCGCGTGTCGACACCTTGCATCCCAGAATCCAACATGTCCGCTGAAGAATCGGGTCAAGTTGGGGAGCTTTCGACATATGCATCGAGAATATTGATGCGATGCCTCTGGCTAAGTCGCCTTGCGCGACCGGACATTGCATTCGCAGTTCAACGCCTGGCGAGCCGTGTGCCTCGCTGGACGCAGTGGGAAGACCGTCAAACCAATCGTTTGATCAGTTATCTTCATTCCACATGTGACCATGTGATGAAGCTTTCTGCCGAAGTTGCGGCACCGCCTTCGTTGCACGTATACACTGATTCAGACTTTTCGTCATGCCCTTACACTGCGAAGTCCACGACAGGCATTGTTTATGTCGTCCGCACAGGTCAAGGATGCTTTCCTGTCATATGGCAGAGCAAGAAACAAAGTTCAACTGCAAGAAGCACCACAGAAGCCGAACTGATAGCATTGGCAGGAGCATTGCTCGGAGAAACTTTGCACCTACATCTGATGCTTGAGACCTTGGTAGAGTTAAATGTTGGCATTATTTTCGAGCAGGACAACCAAGCGACAATCACGGTTGTCAAGGCTGGATACAGTGTGAAGCTCCGTGGAGCAAACCGAGTCCACCGAGTGAATCTCGCATCCGTAAAGGAACTGCTTGACGAAGAAGAGTTCAGAATTAACTACTGTTCCTCGGAATCTCAGCTTGCGAACTCACTTACAAAGGTGATGCCGCCCATGCTTTGGCCGGAAGCACTCCGTCAGTTATGCGTTTGTGAACCATGAGCTTGCAACTGACGTGAAATCGTGTGTGTGGGCCGTCCTTGCATAGACACCGGAAATCAAGTGTGCTGAAAGCGCACTTCTGTCAGGGGCTTCCACCATGCACAGCTTGAGGGGGGAGTTGAAAATATACACATGAAACAACCCTCCCTGGCGGTCGCCCCACATCATTTTGATATCACCTTGCATTTTGGCTCAAGTCCTGCGGAAAAGGCGCGCTGTGCCTGGGTCGGGGCTTGGGATTCCATACATCGCGTTGCATATCATTAAACTGTAGGATTTGGCTGTGTCCTTCAGTTTAACTCTTTTTAATACACACTCAATGGTATACTAAAATATACTAAATAATTTGGTTGTATATACGCACTTGATTGTTTGTGCAAGACACATGAAAAACCACCCCTTAAACAAACATTTGGTCAGAACCTTGTCGTCATTTTGCTAGCATCTTTGATGTTATATTGGCTTAAGGCATGGAGTTGTAGACATCGGTTAAGGCATAGGCATAGTTTGATGGACTGTTCGCACCAAAGACCATGACACACCCTTTTTCTGGCAAAAAATCAACCGTCACCTCGTGTTGCATTCGGACTGGAAAAATATAGAAGTCTCCAGCCTTCTTGTATGAGTGATATAGAAATTTCGAAAGGTAACCTGATAACCTTCGTGCGAAGCCAAGCTTTGTCAAATCCACGCATGTCTACCAGATGGCCCCTTGTCACGGCGCGATGGCCCTGACCCCAACGAGTTTGAATTCAAGTCACGGGGTGAGGGTATGTGAAGAACCTCTGAGCATAGGAGGCTACAAGCATCGCTATCGGACCAAAGCCTTCGCAGCGAACCTAACGCGGAGTTTTTACCAGATCCTCGTTGAATGCTGTTGACAAAGAGGATTCAGCAGATTCTCCATGGTTTCCAGTTTTTTCCTTTTGTCTGAATGCAGATCTATCCATTTCATTTTCGTTGCGGCGACTTGACCGTTCACCTTTGGTCAGGGCTCGGGGCCGTGGTTTTCAAACTTGGTGTCTTCCCATCGCCAATTCACAGACCTCTGTGGTTGGACTTGTCCTTGAACAGGTCTATCGGATGGAGCTGGACCACTTTCTCCGCTATGCCTTCGAATCCTCGATCAGCGATTCCCAGCCGCCCCGCTGGGACGCCGAACCCTTGTGACTTGTTCAAACAGGTGCGACCACGTTTTCCTATGCTTCTTCAATCTACCCACGTACCTGGGTCGCACCAGTCACTGCCTTCAGCCTCCACCCAGGAGTGCCTGGCGGACCCAACACCTGGGTGCGGAGCGGCACGCTCCATCACGTCCACCTGACTCTACGAACCGCCCGAGGTATCTCTTTGATCCCAAGCCACCCTTGGCATTGCGCCCCCTGCGGCAGCCCCAGCTCTCCACTCAGCTGGACCTGGCGCGGGAGAGAGGGTGCCCCGTCGCTGAAGCCTTGCGGAAGCTGGCCCGGGGATGGCTGCTGATTGGAGGCAGTGGGCGTTTTCGAATGCATGAGGGTTCTCAATTCAGTTGATTGAGAGCACATGATCACAATTATTCATAATTCATCATAATTCTCAATTCGATGTGGGATGTGCCCTCATCTCATCATAACTCTCAATGATTCACTTCATTGAGGGCACATCCAATTGGGTGTGCCAAGACACCCGAGACTCAATGATTCATTGCGAGCGCTCGGAGTGCTTCACTTACATCGTAAGAATGCCCACCGGGCTGTGCCTGGCAAGCGTTGAAACCAGTGCAAGGTTTTCTCAAAGACTGTAGCAATTAATGTTGCAATTACATAATTAGCTATAATGCTATACGATATACGGTTCATGGAGGACATCTGCAACTGATACTGTAGGAGCCAGTCCGGGTCCTTTGCAACATGCCCACACATGCCCACACAGCAATCGTGCTCCTCCACTGCAAAACCCAATCTCGGCCTTTACTTTCTCCGGCGCATTCCCGACCGGACCTGTCCGGCAGATTTAGATTCTGACGACTTCATGGCTTTCCACTGAACAAAGTAAAGTTCAGAAACTGTCAGAAAGTAGGATTCAGAACTGGTTATTTGTCGGGTTAAGACGCAGGTTTGGTCGGGTTCAAACACAGGTGTTTGCCGAGTTAATAGATTGTTGTCCGCTTCAGAAACTGTTTTCGGGAAGATCAGAAACTATTTATGTACAGAAGTGCACGGCCAACGAAGACGCTGCACGTTTTACCTGCCTGCTTGTTTCACTTGGCGTTTCACTCTCTTTTTTGTGGTTTTCTAAGTGGAGCTTATGCTGGTGTTTTGCTGTAAAAGATGCAGTCAGTCAAAGGGCTCTTGCACAACATGCACTGAACTATGCTCTTACGAGCCTCCTTCCAAGTGCGTGTGGGTGGTGACATGCACGTGACATGCGCATGAGGAAACGTTTCAACACGGTATGTTCAGAGTAAAGGTGGCTCGTTTCAAGCGCCCTTTTGCACCCAGACGTGCCCAAAACCGGCCGCAGCGAATCCTTCCCTCTGAAGGCCCCGGCAGTGGGAGCCGTTTCCACGTGGACGCCTTCGGGACTGGAGCCTGGAGCGCCACGCTCTGCGGCGCCAAGCGCTGGGCACTCTATCCGCCTGGCCGGCGGCCACCAGGCCACGTTGGAGGCTATTTGAGTTAGAGATGGTTAATATGATGCAGCAGATATAAGCAGCTTACAAAGCAGCTGAAGAAAGAGCATGAAATGAGACGTGTCCACTTCAATGATTAAATGCTTGAAGGAAGGTGGCACTCAGTGTTTCTTAATGTTTCTTAGCATTCACTTGTGTTAGCGGTATTTCAGCTGATTTTTCCCACACCTGGTCTTGCTTGTCACAACTCCAGGGCTTCTTGACATGGGTCCTGGACGCTTTGCCGCCCCCGCGCCGATCTTCTGGTTTTCCGAGGCGACCTTCTGGTTTTCGGACGTTCCGATCGGATCCGCGTGCTTTCAGGGTGCGGACGGCTTTCAGGGTGACTCGTGGTGCTTATGGAGGATTCAAGGTGATTGGGTTATTAAACGAGAAATTATAATAAGTGTACATTTGTTTTTGGGGTGGGCGCTGATTAGGCCCCCCCTGAGAAAGTGTTCCAAGACCTATTGAACTTAAAGTTGCTAGTGCTAATGTCAGCGCCTATAGAAATATATGTATATACATATATGTATATATAAGCAAATGTGGTGACTCGGGAAGACTTAAGGTAGTTTCATTGATTGACATATTGCAATATTTGATTCTAGCAATTTTCTTGTAAAACATTATCCTGAATGGCATTGGACAGCCTTTTGTGTAAGGTAAGTTTCTATAGGTACAATAATGGTACCAATGATGATTTTAATCCAACATGCATTATGAGCTATTTTGATGTAAAAAACTACAAAATGCAGGGTAAAATGGCCAAAAGAAAAGTGTCAAAAAGGATATGTAAGTGTTCGGAGGTTCTTGGATAATATCAATATTTAGTGTAATTGCTGTGGGCGTGGATTTCATATTGATATGAAAAGTTGAGATGTTATTAAATATATATATATATATTATAACTTAACTTGTCAAGAGCTTCAGAGCTTCTAACCGTGAGTCTCACTCACTGGATACTATAGTGCCTTATTCTTGTAGATGTAATTGTAGTTGTAAACAATTCTGTGCACAGACTTGGTCTAGTTTTGTCAAATTGCATTGAACCAGCTTCTTTGCACAGGTCAATGTTTCTCATTTGTTGATCTCAACTGCCCAACTAGTGTGCGAAATCTCTTCATCTCTGCCTTTTTCAACTGGCAAAGGTCGGTGACTCGGGCGGCATGGTGAACGGCCCCGTTCAGGTATCGACGAAAGACCCAGTTCAGCTCGACTGCTGTTCCATCGACGATCAGACATATGCATTCTGAATGTCCAACGCAGTCAGCAGTGGACTGCGTTGCGAACGCAGATACCACTGTATTTGTTTATACCTTGTGGGCTCTTCCAATGTACAAAACTTCTGCGTTTTCATCCAAAACTTTCCCCGGGGCAGGTCCTGCCGCAGCTGAAGAGCCACGAACGACCCATGGAGCTGGTGACCAAGGCAGTTCGTTCCAACTGGAACAGGTTGGAATGAAAACTGATCAAACATGACAACAACGGTTGATCACTGCACAAACAAAACCTTTGTTGTTGATCAACCTTTGATCATGGACCAAAACAAGACTGCGCAATCACTTTCTGTTCCAAATAATGTCAAGACCGGATTAATACCCCCCCCCCACATGGTAGGCCAACAAGGTCAACAAGGTCTGAGATACCACTCATGAGGTCCACCCCCCCCTGAATTATCGGCTCAGGGAGCCATCGTAGTCGCAGTCGTCTTCGGTAGTAGGTAGTAGGTAGTAGGTAGTAGGTAGTAGGTAGTAGTAGGTAGCAGGTAGTAGGTAGTAGGTAGTAGTAGGTAGTAGGTAGTAGGTAGTAGGTAGTAGTAGGTAGTAGGTAGTAGGTAGTAGTAGCACAAAGAAAAGGCCAGGGACACAGGATCAAATTAATAGAGGGTAGTAGTGCAGATTATTGATGGGGGGGCCGGCCCTTGTGAGGGGTACCCTTTGTGAGCTTGTCAAATGATTGTTTTTACTTGTTTTTTAATAAGGCAATTTATAGGCCCTGAGCCCTAGACATTTTTAAGGATTTCATCAAACATGTAGTAGGTAGTAGGTGGTGATGGTGGTGGCGGCGGTGGTGGTGGTGGTGGTCGTGGTAGTAGCACGGAGCAGTAGCAGTAGCAGTAGCAGCAGCAGTAGCAGTAGCAGTAGCAGTAGCAGTAGCAGAGCAGGAGGAGGAGGAGAAGGAGGAG